GCCCCAAGCCGCACAGCCTTCATGGCCACAGCTACCTGGGTATTTCCCGCGAAACACATTTGTTTGCTGTGTGGTGATTACTAGAGGGATGTGGTGCCTCCGGACTCCTGCAAGCTGTCCCCTAGAGTCAGAGCCCTGTGACACACACGCGGGCACACACATGTGCATCCCTGACTGCCCGCCACCTCTCGGCCCGACCTGGCTGCATTGTCCCTACTCGGGAGAGCAGGCCGCGCCCTGCACAGCTCCTAGAGGCACCGAGGCCCCACGGAGGCCCCCGCTCACCATCTTTCTGTTCTTATTACATTGCCCACGTGTTTACACCTTTCTGACCTTTGAGGGGAAGCCTGGCCCAGCGGCTGCCACACAGGGGCCCTGTTCATGCATATCTGATGGATAGCATGTGCTAGTTGGATGGAGAGCTGAGTGGCTTCTCCAAGTCCCCTAGCCAATTGGTAGCAGCTGTAGGACTTGAACCTGGGTCCTGGGCTCTGCGTGTTGCCTGTCTTACACTGAGCCCAGCCTGATCGCTCAGCCAGGATCCCCTTCAGGATGTAAGGGGACCTGGAAGCCCCCATCTGAGCCCCAACGTCGAGCTGCCACCGGGCAGGCCTGGTTGCCTCTGCTCCTGCAGCCTGGCCAGATCCAGGGGGAAAGTCTGAAGGAAGATCACACTGCCTGGGCCAAGAGAATTCTCTTCTTTGATCTCACCTCCAGGGGCCACAGCTGGGCAGAGAACACAGCTGGGAGAAGAGTGAAGAGGAAGATGGATCCCTTACACCCCCCCACACACCAAGACCCAGTGAGGGAAACGTGAGCGTCAGAATCTTTGACTGGGAGGTCTTTAGAGGCCAGCTTCTGGCCTGGGAGGGAGGGGGGGATGTATGACAGGCCAGCGTCAGAGCCTGCAGGTGGCCTGTCCCCAGCTAGCTTCCCACCCCCTCCCTGCGCAGTGTTGCGTCAACCAGACCCGGGTACAGCCGCCCTCCTGGGCCGTCGGCTCTGTGAGCTCCAGCAGCCTGCCTTCTCTTGCAGCGTCAGTGCTCCCGTCCGGAATCAGGCCAACAGTGAGAGCAAATGAAGAAGTCCCGAGGCACAGTCCCCAGGCATTGTAGGTGCTCCACAGATGGTGGCTACTGTGTATTGACCGTTTCCTGCAGGGGAAAGTGAGCTCTGGAGAGGTGAGGCGATATCCCAAAGACAACGATAGCACCAGGGCTGGCACCCTGACCCCCGGGGCACATAGGACAGCATCTGGCCACACCGGCCCCTGGTTTGGGGCAGGCTGGATCCAGCTGGGTCCAGGCAGCTGAAATCTGTGGTCTCAACTGTGTGTAGAGGATAGACATTCATATTTAGCCGGGTTCATTCAACAGTGCAGGGCAGGGGTGTGTGGAGGGGGTGCCTGCCCTGAGTGTATGTGGGGTTTCCTTGAAACACAGACTCCCTGCCCCTGCTGGAGTGGCTCAGTGGCCGAGTGTCCACCCAGGAACCAGAAGATCATGATTTGATTCCCGGTCAGGGCCCATGCCCGGGTTGCAGGCTCGTTCCTCTGTAGGAGGCGTGCAGGAGGCAGCCGATCAATGGCTGTCTCACATCATTGATGTTTCTCTCTCTCCCTTCCTCTCTCTGAAATCAATATATACATCGATATATAAATCAACATATATGTGCGTGTGTACATATATATATATACATATATATGTATATATAAAGGGAGACTTCCCGCTGGAGGGAGCCCACTGCCACCACCACAGCCAGGCTGGTCCCCCTCGGTGACGCACGCCCAGGGTCAAGGTCAGCCTTCACCCAGCTCTGCGCCAGAAACACTGTCCTAGGGAGCAGGCCTGGGGAGAAGGGGGTGAGAAAGGGCCACGTGCCCTTCCACGTCCTGCACCCCGTTACCCAGTGCCAACCCTCCTCCTCTCCCTCTCCTCCCAGGGCATCCCCTTGGGGCAGCTGCGAAGCCCCCCCG